TATTTCCGAGAGTGCAAATTTTCATTCAATCGCAATTTTTTGACTTACTACGCATGCGCTTCATTTAACTTGGTTCTTTCGGTAACAAAGAAAAAGCTGAGAATTGCTGAGTTCTTTGCTTCTTTACCTTTTCTAACATATATTTATGATAAATGACTAAAGCCACCAATACACTGCGTTCAATTATAGAGAAAAATAGCACAGATGGTGCGGGTGTTGAGTAAATAAAATGATCGTTCTGTTGACGGGATGTTTGGTTTTTTGCAATCCTTGTGCGTACGCTGAATTGCATCAGCAAAAGCGCGCGCGAAAACTGTGTTCGGCCACCTTAAGATGCGCAGTCTGATCTTGCGCTCTCTGCCTTGCATCGTTGGTCGCAGTGTGCTAAGGTGAGTGACAGTTTGCTGTGTATATTGCTATTTTTGACGTTTCTTTTATCTTTCCTGTTTTCCTTTATAAACTTTTCTTTGTAAACTTAGCCTTTTCTGCATTAGGCGGCTCTCTGTTAAGATGCGCTGTTTTCCAAGTTATCGGGACAACAGGAACATCGGTCCAGAATATCCAACAAATAACTCTTGTGGAATCTCACCTAATAATAAGAGAAGTCACTTGGAAAATTACAGAAACGAAGAAGTTAGTGTTTTATCGTTACTTACCATAAGTGTTAAGGCTCTCAAAACCAGAAGTGTAGAGATAAACCAGTTGTAATCACTCGTGAAAAAGGTTCAACGCTTGAATTGTGCTATTGATGACGTTTAACTGTGTCAATTGCCATAACAGCAGGAAAATTTTGATTTTTAACCAGACATCTCTTTTATTATAGTTTGAACCTGTTCCCTCTCATCAAGTGTTATTCGCGCTCAGATGAAGTTAATATCATAGTTAAAAAAATCACAGATTTTAGCGGTACCGTTTATATTTTTAATCTACACTACTGTAGTCAACATTTTGGAAATCACACGGGGGGAGAATATACAGTCAACTGCCTATAACTCGAACTTCGCGCTAACTCGAACCAAAATCAATTTCCCCGGATTTCCGTCATACATTTATGTAATTTTACCTTCGGTAACTCGAACCCTAGATAACTCGAACCTCCCGCTAACTCGAAGCAATTTTCGTTTCCCTTGAGACCATTTTCTTTATAATTTTACCCTCGATAACTCGAATCATGTCTGTCAATGCGTGTACAAGTCAAAGCAAACAGGTATTGTAGTCCAAAACATTAAATTTATTTTGAAGCAGCCATGTGAACTTTTCCCTGCTGCTTTCCTTTATTATATTTTTCACATTACGTTACGTTCCGACTTATACAGTAATTTAGAGATGTATTGTTTTATTTTCACTCGACTGCTCTATTCTGTTATTAAATTTGATTAAAGTGTACACAGCATGAATAGGAAACATTAAACACCGTTTTCTTCTGATTTCCGGTCATTTGTTCTCAACTCCCGATAACTCGAACCTTTTTCAATTTCCCTTGAAGGTTCGAGTTA